CAACCCTGGAGACAAAGACGCCCGCGAAGCTTTTACTCCCTTCATTCCGTTGAAATCGTGACGAAAATGTCTCTCGTGCTGCTTTCAAAAGGCAAATTTTCAAGACATGAGAGCAAATAGCTTCCAAATGTGCTTCTCAGAATGATGTCCTTTTTAAATGCTCCTTCTTTGTAAAACATTCAGCTGCTTTTCCGTATTGTGTGAAGTCCCTCCGGCACTGCATCGCAATATGTCAGGCAAGGACGTTCCCGACTATTTATCTCTTATCACAGTCGGTAATCACATCCTCTTGATGCACATCATCAAACAAAAGAGCAAAAACACACTTTGGAGGACACGGACTCGACAACTTTACCACCCGGCGGCGACAAATGGCACCGAGGTAGCCGTAAAACTTTGCTCGCCTGTATTTCTTGTATGTTAAAAAGAGCAAATAAAGTAACTCTGCATGTTCTCGAAGACAATCATTTTTGAGAAAAGGCATAAAAGCCCCCTTGAAATTGCCGAATGACCTTTCCAATTCCCGTCAGTTCCTGTGCTGTGGCCGTTTAATTGCATTCTTTGACTTCCTTTTATTGGGCTCTCCGAAACTGTTTTCCGTCTCATCCCACTTGCCATTGTCTTTGACCGAGGGAGATTTAATTGGAAAATGAAACATTGTTTGGATTCAAACGTCTGGCTCCTGCACAAGGGCGCGTTTTGTGTGCGTTTTTTTTTTTTTTTCTTGGTCTTATCACTCTTTCAGTCAGCGCTCGCCGTCTTCTGACCTGTCAGCCGTGTTCGGTTCTGAATCAAGTATTCTGCCCCTGCAAAGATAAAAATGTTTGCCAGGAAAAAAAAAGGACTGTTAATTTGGACCGACCGATATATTTTTTTGGGGGGGAGGCTGATACCAATTTAAATAAAATTCAGGTAATTGATTAATCGTCCAATTAACTACAAAAAATATACAATGGATAAAACAGCTTGCAACGATCAAGATATGAATTGCAGGTAGAATATTTTGACTGTTTCGCAATACTTGGCAAGAATCAATGAAATTACTCGGGGGGGGGGGCTTCTATTCCTCTTCTTCTCGCTCATAATCATGCTGAGTGTGTTCCAGTAGATCTCAATGCGAGCTGGCTGCAAAATGGTACTACAACTCAAAATTGGCACTTGCCTGTGTACTCTGGGAAAAAAACACAATTACAAATCTGCGGCATTACCGGGGTGACCCGTACTGAAAAGCTGTACCTCATCACTGGGAGATGTTCCTCCCATTTCACCCCCCACCAGAAAACGAAAGTCAGCATTTCACAATGGGATAAACCGGGAATGACAAAGCATGTGCGGCACATTACAGGCCATTGTGTCTCTCCCGCTGCCTTTCAGTTAAGACTTACAGTGGTGACCTACATTCTGGGTGGTGGGGATACACTGAAATGTATATTTGGAGAAGTAGGTCAAGAAATGCTTGTCTTGGCCAACATTTTAAAAAAAACAAAAAAACATCTGAGGATCCAAGTGAGTCAAATCGAGGCGTTACATAATGCTGCCGGAACAGCCGAGGCGATAGAAGGGCTCGGTCGTCTGCGTGTATTTAGCGCTCTAATGTTGATTAAAACTATTAAGGAACCGCTCCCCTCCACAACCTCCCCTCCTCTCCCACGAGGATGAGTGTGATTCATCACTGTACAATTGGATTAAGTCTCCAAATCCGGGAAGGATGAATCCTTGTCATGTGGTCGGCGCTGGTGTTTTGATATTAATATCGTGACCACGAGCGGGTTTGACGTCCTACGCCTCAGCGTTTCCGTATATCTGAGGCACCCGACTGACACACGCCCAATTTCATGGAAATGAAAGGGATTGCAGCCTTTTGAAATGTAAATTGGGACTGGTGAGGGGTGCTGGTGGTGGGGGGGGGGGTTATGCGGTAAAGTTTGATCGTGAATATGAATGGGAATGGATCGCCCCGGTTGACGCAGTGAAATAAGATTTGCACCACCCTTTGCGTGCGTATGCGGGAGTGAATGTCGCTGTGTGTGCAAAACGGTGCGTGAGAATTTGTGTGTGCGTGCGTGCGTGCGTGCGTGCGTGCGTGCGTGCGTGCGTGCGTGTGTGTGTGTGTGCGTGCGTGTGTGTGTGTGCGTGTGTGAGAGAGACTCATGCAGCGCCATTCTGAGACAAGTGAGTCGAAAAAGAAGCAGTACCATCGTAACAAGTGTTTGCGTTTGTCTCAGTAAGCAGTTCAAGCAATTCCCCGCCCCCCTCGTCCCTGTCACTTCCCCGCTGGAGACCCTTCCGCCATAATTAATCATTCATTAGCTTCACGAGTGCATCAGGATCACCACACCGATGTGCCCCCCCCCCCCCCCCCCCCCCAAAAAAAAAAAGACCTTGGGAGTCTCCGGGTCCACAAGTCAGCCTCCCTGTGGATTCATGCGCCAAAGCGAGAAATTAATCACTCTTTGTGGTGTCTAAAGAGAAGTTGGGGTGTCATAAAGCTCCGGGAGGCCTGTTGGGCTTTCAGAAAATGGGTCAGGTGAAAGCCATCTCTGTACTAATGAAGTCCCGGAGCACTGAGCATCACACCTGCACACTTTCAATTAGCGCACAGGACCGCAATACGGAAACCGGCAACGGCAGTCCGGTCTGGGAGTACCCGCTGAGACTCAACAGCTTCCACTGCTCCTCTCCTGCACTGCTCATATATTTGGATGTATTACAGGGCCTTGCTGCATTGACATTTTCAGCCAAATATTTGATTTCAGCTCAGTTCACCACGGTGCTCTTTCGTGGTTTTGGCAACAAGCAGTGGTGGGAAGTAATGAAATACAAATTCTTAAAGTACCCGCGATGGGCACTTGACTCTATTTTGCCGATCTGTGTTCCGTCCGTGACCTGGGTACGCTTCCGTCATCGTCCCTCCGTCCTTCTTCGTTCATATAATAATCCGTCCTCGTCCTCTTCTTAGAGGCGCTCACTACAAACCGCATGTCACTTCATGAGAGAAACGCGTCGTCCATAAAATACGAAACACATGAAATGTCTTGCCAACTTTACACAACGCCAAACTCTGGAAAAACGTGCAGGACTCTCGAATGCAAACATTGACGTGTTCATCACGTACCAGTAGCGCCGTCATTGGCTGTTGCAGATAAGATTGGCCATCAATCAAACAAAAAATAACATGACTGTTTCTTTATATTTTGAATGTCAAAGTGATAAGCAACTCAACATTAGTATTTCACAACACAAATATAGCTAATCTGATAAAATATCCATCCATCCATCCATCCATCTGTTTTCCGATCTGCTTATCCTCACAAGGGTTGCGTGGGGTGCTGGAGCCTATCCCAGCCATCTTCGGGCAGTAGGCGGGGGACACCCTGAACCGGTTGCCAGCCAATCGCAGGGCACGCATAGACAAACAAACATTTGTGCTGACAATCACGCCTCAGGACAATCTTGAATGTTCAATCAGCCTGCCATGCATGTTTTTGGAAGGTGGGAGGAAACCGGAGTACCCAGAGAAAACCCACGCAGGCCCGGAGAGAACATTCAAACTCCGCACAGGGAGGCCGGAGCTGGAATTGAACTTCTGCACTGTGAGGTCGACGCGCTAACCATTCGACCATCGGACCACCCTCTGACAAAATAAAGTAATAATAATAAAAACATTTAGAAATCCGCGCCTCAAATGGGGGGGCATACGCATCTTGGTGGGCGGGCACGGTGAGACGTACAACACAGCCAGCTGGACAGAGGACGAGCGCTCCTCCTCTTGTCTGCATGAAGCAAAATTAAGTCACTCCCTCCCACACACAAACACGGTGAACACGCATGAGACAAGCAGCGCCTCACATTCGGTCTGAAGTAGTGCATTGGCGGATTACGCACGTAAAACAGGCTGGGCGTGTTTTTGTCAGTCGTGAATGAAATGGGTGTCCGGAGGTACTTAACCCGGTTAGGGACGATTAAAGGGACAGACAAAAAAAAAAAACCCTTCCATCCTTGCCAAGTCCGTCCTATTTGACAAAAAAACAAAAAACAAACTTTGTCCTCCAAAATGGCCGTTGGTCCGGACCGTTCCGTCCCAGGGACGGAATTTCCATCTCTGTAAAGTACCATACTCCATCAATCACATATTTGCCTATTTTCTTGACTGTTGATGAGCTTATGCTTTTTTTTCTGTCATTCTTCCACTGTTGTGAACACAGCAGGAAGTTCAAAAAGCAATTTGCAGATTACTGACAACATCGGAAGTATGCCCCGACAGGGTGCAAGTAGTCCACCTGCCCAGTTGGAAGCAGCTATACCAGATAAATGGGAGGCCCGAAATGATCTTTTGGCTAATGTGGGCGGAGCTTGCAGTTATTGTATCATTTGGAGCAAACAAATCATCCCCTGGTACCACTTTCACTGATCCACCTGAAACTGGGCGGACATGTCGATCATAACAGGACGCATGAAAAATGATCCATGCTTGAAATGCAACAGGAAAGCCGCCATTATGGCTCGGAGCAACCATTTTTGAGCAAATTCTAGGACTCAAAATCCGACCAGGGGATTCACTCAAATGAGTCCCAACGGAAAAGTTCGGAAAATAAATCAGCTTGTGCCACCGGTTTGACCTTTCGACACCAAATTAGGTTGACGTCTATCGTAACAGAACGCACGACAAAGTCTCAAGGATCCATGCCCGAAATTGAACAGCAATTTTCATCCAAGGGAATTTGCCCAAACTAGCCTCAGTCGTAAGAACGCATCCTAAACAGATGCTAAATTACAAAGTTTTTTTGTGTGTGTCACATAATTATTGTTGATCTTCAATTTTAGGCGATACCGTTGTTTAACAGCCACCGAAGACAGTATTCGTAAAACCCTTCTCCCCTTTATATTGTTGAGGTCTAATAAAAGATTGCCATTAAGGGACGATATATTACACTTTGAAGTCAATGCGCCTCAGAGAAATAAATAAATAACACAACACAAGTCTTTTGGTGTGCCTGCAGGACTTTTATCGACCACAATCGTCCCCTGGGAGTGCGAGCAGCTCTCCTAAACCTTTTTTTAATGTCTGCTGGAGGGGATGGAGGAGGCGGCCACGTTGTCCTGATGGTGGGATTAAACGGATAAAGTAAAAGGACATCATGCTGCAGATGACATCGCACGGTCAGACCTCTCCACCACCACCAAAGGTCCAAATTTCATTCATTGGAATTTTGTGGGGATTCCGCTTGTTGGACTTTTGTCACTGTAACTTTGGACTAGTTTGTGTGCCTTGACTTATACGCTGTATGGAGGGAGCAAAATCATTTTTTACCCCTTTTGCAACAAGCAGCAGTTTGGCAGAACAGTTCTTCACGAAAGAGACTTCAAGCTATTTATTGCATTCCCAGTTGAAGTTGACTGTCAAACTAAACATCAAACAAAGAGAATTACCCGTTGTGTAGTTGAAACAACCACATAGCTGAGACTTAAAGTCAGCCGACTAAATGCTAACGTTACAAGACAAATTGTCAAAGGCAGTCGAACAACACTAGCATAGATGTCGCACTACTCTATAAAATAATCATGTCGGCAGACAGTACAATACTCACAAGCGCATATTCTTTATCATTTGTGACAACTGAGTTATATTACTTAAGAGTGAATCGGGAAAGGCTTTGTCTATTTCACTCTGTGTTAAACTGCCCTCGGGTGTCCAAGAAACACACACCGGAAGGAGCAGGACAAAATCCATCGAATTGAAGCAAAAAATGTGGCAAAACTATGTAAATATTGCGATAACTTTACGACTGTATATATGACTAAATTACAATATTATCGAGTGCTATTTGTCTTATTTAAAAACACACACACACACACACACACACACACACACACACACACACACACACACACACTGGGGCAAAAAACACCACAC